GGGGCGGAAACAGCGAGTGGATGGGGTGGGGCAAGGGCAGGGAAATCTGATGGAGTACCTCAAAGTAATTGATGCAAAAACGCATGATCGCACCGGCTCGCCTAGTGCTTTCCAGCCTGGGTTACATTTTTGTATAATATTTGTATAAACGCAAGAGTGCATATTGACACAAAGTCTTCTGTGCATGTTTGTCCGTCTGTTCTCACTTTGTCACCTATTTTCAACTCAACAACAAGAAGAGCTAGGAAACTGAAACTTTCTGAGCATGGTCATAACCTATGCGCGATCTCCAGTCCTAAAGTTATCGTTCACGTATGCTGAAGCCTCATGTACGGACAACGAAAAAGAACATGTAAATTTTCTGAGGGAGTACGGCATCAGGGTCCAGTTAAAATAGGAATTTGAAATTTTACAGAGATGTTTTGTGACCTTGTTTGAGCTAAGGATTTCAAATTCAGCTATCATGCTCGCCTACACTACACGATTTGATAGGTAAGTATAGAAAGCGACTGGCCTTATTTCCCACTTAGAGAGCCTCAGCCGCATCAACGTTATACTTTAGCTAAGTATGTTGTTCTTTTCTCTCTCTTGAACAGTCTTCCTTTTAAATTTTATGATGTGGGATAACGGACTAAAATAAGCAACAGGCTTGATATAGCTGCTATAGTCGCTGCATGTCAACTGTCTAGTGACATTGGAAACTCTGCATTACATCTAAGTGGCCACTTCCGCTTGAATTTTGGTTTTTACAAAAATTCTTAAAGTAGAAGGTTTGAACAATTTTTTCAGAAGGAAGGAATTGTAACTTGCACAAGTTTTGGAATTTTTATAACTACATATGCAGATAAATTTTTAAAAATCGACAAAAAAATTGTTCTAGGAGTTAGAAATTGACTGTCAGAGCTGTGATGGGGCAACGATTGTGAATCCGAAAGGAGAAATCGAATTCAAAAACGTTCACTTTCGTTATCCATCACGACCTCAACAGGAAGTTTTGAAAGGAGTCAGTATCAAGGTAAGATAAATTGCACTCTACCGTCACTTCAGTTTTTATCAGATCCAAAGACTGTAAAAAACTCCACAAAATGGAGGTTTGCAACCCTGGATAGGAAAGCCTGACACAAGTTGCGTCCGACGTGTGATTGAGTTCCAGTTCATTCATTTCATTCCAGTCGCAAAATTAGCACTAATATTTACATTTTTTGTGCGAGTGGGTTTGGTAGATCTGACAAAATTTCTGAAGCACATGCTGTTTGAAAAAGGCTAAAATTTAGCACACTGCGCCTAGGATAATCAAAGAAACACCTACTGTTTTTGTCCTCCTCCCTCATTTGTTCAAATCCTGTCACCTACGTCTAAAGAAAAAAGATTTACAGTTGAAGGCGGAACAGTCAGTGGCGCTTGTTGGTGCAAGCGGCTGCGGTAAAAGTACGCTAATCTCATTGCTTCTGCGCTAT